AACACATATACAATGCACATATATAATTTTTTTCCGAGTTATTTTTTTAAATTAAAATGATTTATTCGCAAACTTTTATAATAAATAGTAAATGTTATAATTCAGTAGTTATTTCTTCATTATGAATTATTTATTTATTCTAAGCAGAAAAGATCAAGAGAAATGTGAGGAATTTCCAAATGTTATTTAAAAATTCTGCTCTTCTCATAAATTTGGAAAACAGATTTGAAATTAACGTAAAAATATAAGGAAATAATACAAGGAACACCTTCTCAGATCAATTTAATATGAAAAAAAGTAAAATTTTTGTCGACTAGTGTTATTCATATACTTTAAAATTATTATTATTATTATCATATTTCTCTTGGTTCATCTGTCAGAAGCACGCTTGAAATAGCTCGCTGTAAGAATGAAGTGGATCGTGCGGTCAAAATATTTCGGGACACTCTATTGTTTGCGATCGCATCGCAGACACGTTCGAAAGAGTTCATGGAGCCGTGAAAGCCGTCGAGGAGAGAAAAGAAAAGGGTGAGACCGCACGTAGGTGCACGGATGCATTACATGCTCGAAGTGATACCTAAAGGCGGATGCTTGGTTCTTTAGTTTTCTCTGCACAACACCGCTGCCGTTGCTTCTTTACATTATACGTATCTCGCTCCAAAAGTTTCCGCTTTTTCTACTAACCATCGGTATATACCGGTGTCTTGACTTATCTGTTGAAATGTACCTTCATGAAGAACGCAAGCGTGGTAGTTCAACATGGTTTCCATTACGCAACTGACAACATTTATGATAAACTGTGAAAAATTGAATTTATAACGCGGTAAAAACAGAATTCGTCTTGATCGTGATTCAGTACCCCGATACCGATGAAATGTAAATTGCGTAATTGAAAACCTTTAAGAAATGAATAGTTTTAATAAAAAGCTTAAATATTGTATTAAATATTTCATTTACGCACAATTATTTATTATACGTGAATCATTGTAAGAAGAGTTAACAAAATGCTTATTTCTGCCATAAATTTAATTTATTTTCATTCGTTAAAAGCAAACTGTTTTTATCTTTTGCCTTTATGCAAAATATCATTCTATTGCTAAAAAAAGTGATTATTCAATTTACTTTCTTTCTTCTAAATAATAATCATCTTTAATAAAGAATATTTTCTTGATAATAATGTTAAATGTAGTTATTAGAAATTTTGGAAAAATTTATTAATATGCAAACAAGAATTTATTTTCTTTTAAACAATATTATAAAATTGATCAAAGAAACTTTAATTATAAAATAAATCGAATTTGCTCTAATAATTTTGATTGAAATATTAAACTCTCTTACTAGGGAGATTCAGAATATATTTTAAATAATATTTTGATTTGATGAACTTATAATAAATTTGCAGATATATGAGTTTTTGAAATACTTAAAACAAATTATTATTTGCATACAGCATGTATTTTTCTGTATGTATGATAGATAAATGAAGGAAAATGTTCAAAAGCAATTTATATATTTAATTTATATATTTAAGTTTCTTTAAAACAAGCTAAAGAAATAAATATCCAAAATAAAATAAATTTTTTTTATGCAATTATATGCTC